ATTGTATCAGTTGTATTACCAGAACAAGTTGTACCAACATGGTCGCACCATTTAAAACGCAAGATGATCAGCTGGGGGAAGGGGGTACACAAATCAACTATTCAGGATGTAGGGAATATCATTGCTAAATACAAGAAGCAATGTGCTCATACGGTGCAAGCTCAGATACTTATGGCGCTATTAGCTACCAGCATTGATGCTAAACTCAAAACAAGTTGATGGACAACACAAGAATCTCCCCAACAGTTATCGTGGAGTCATTTTCTCACACTAGCCCACTGGAAGTTCACTTCCTATTTTTGACTAAACAGCGATTTCATGTGATAAGCTCCCATTAAACTTCCTAGCTGAGACAGGTGACCAGTAACTTAAACTTTTCAGCTCTGGTGCTTTGTGGAAGTTATTTCATTTTGGTGCAAGTTACAACAATTGCGTGTGCTGCTCTTTGCTCACACATAGAGCATAAATCTACTGATAACACTTTTCATGGAGATAACTTCTAACATCTTATATGCAGCTTTCAGTTGAGAAACATTAAAAAAAGAGTATAAAGATAGGAGGACTTAAAAATTTTTAAGAATTCTTGTTTTAATGTGGACTCTTTAATCACAGTCAAAAGACAGAGGTCCTTCCTACATGTGGAAAACACAAAAAATCTGACAATCTTTCTAAGTGAAAATAACCTACCAGGAATGGGTTAAACAATTGTGGTAAAGAATACACAGAATGATACAGATATTTTTATCAGGGCCTATTATACATCCAAAAGTCAAAAGGAAGGTCTCATTCCAACATTTCAGACATTTAGTGTTAGTTGTTTAGGGTCCCTCCAGAGCTGTAAGAGAGAGAAATTTTTCCAAATGACAATCATGATATGCTAAGACCATCGTTTAATGTGTGGAACCATTTGCCTTCTGGATTCCTATTGTATAAAATTACTTATGATGAGCAGCCCAATGGTTAGAACAAAAAAGCGCCACATCCAGAGAAATTAAGGATACATCTTTAAGTATTTCATATAAGTATTTCACACTGCAGCCTTCCAGTACTTAAAGGAGGCCTACAGGAAAGCTGGAGAGGGACTTTTTACAAGGGCATGTAGTGATAGAACAAGGGGCAATGGCTTTAAACTGAAAGAGGGGAGATTTAGATGAGATATAAGGAAGAAATTTTTCACTCAGAGGGTGGTGAGGCACTGGAACAGGTTGCCCAGAAAAGTTGTGGATGCGCCATCCCTGGAGGTTTTCAAGGCCAGGCTGGATGAGGCTTTGGGCAACCTGGTGTAGTGGAGGGTTTCCCTGCTCATGGCAGAGAAGTTGGAGCTAGATAATCTTTGAGGTCCCTTCCAACTCTAACCATTCTATGATTCTATATTTTTGAGAATTAGAAGCAGGAACAGACCTCCCAAAACCCAAAAGCTAAACCACTTTTTCTAACTATCCCATGGAAAAATTAGGATATGTGTAAACAGTTTTCTTTTTTTAGCTTTCATTTGGAGTTGTTTCAACCATTAGCAAGAGAGCAGTGTGTATGTGTGAAAACAGTAACATTATTAATATGCTTGCATTTCAGAGAGTCACTCTATGAAAGTTTTTCCTGTACCAGTGTTTAGTCTGAATGCATACTTACTTATTAATCGTATGTTCATATAGTGCAATGTTACAGTCGTTTTCTTCATTCACATCCAAATACTCAACAAGGCCTTCGTGCAAGAAGTCTTCAAAATTCCTACAGTTACATTAAAAAATTACGCTAAAAGTATTGTCTTACATTTCTGCAAAAATAAAACTACATAATACATATATGGAAGGAATGTAATGTGTACAAGTTAAACTAAAGAAATACTTTTACATTAAAAGTTCTATGCATTTTACGTATTTAAAGAAACTGTATTTTTTTTCATTAATCCCCTTGCTCATTCACTGCTTCACACAGTCTGACTGACCAAGGTTACTTATTTGAACAACTAAATAAAATCTTCCTGCATGTAGCCATCATCACTATAAATGTAGGCAAGTATAAGGGTGATCTAGTAAGTTTTTGTGATGGTTTTGCAAAATTTAGTTAACGCTAAATTTAAACGCCTTTGTGTAAGTGGGTTTTTTTTTTGAACACTCAAACTAAGAATTTGCAAGTAGTTTCAAAACTAATTCTGAATATGCCTAGTTTAGGGTAGTTAAGTTGATATTCCTTTGTTTGGTTTTTCTATCAGGAGAAGCACAATACTGCCTCAGGCCTTCCACTTGCAGAAAGATGGGCTGTGAGATGTATTTATTCTGTATAATCACCAAATTTCATAGACAAAGTAAGATGACTAGACTTAATTCAAATTTAAACAGAAAACCTTCAATACTTTGATCATTAATTTATACAGGAGAGTAGACTTGTCTACATAGCTAACCCCAAGATCGTGAAATACTGAATGATTGAAGTATTTCCACACAGTATTTACAGATAGATGTGAAGATGAATATGGTCTATTTGAATCATGTACCTGTATCCCTGAGCCAGTTCTTCCATATGCTTGTTTGTAACCGCAGGTTTTTGCTTCTTGACAATTATGTAGGGTCTACAATTGAGGAAAAAAAAATATTAACATAGCAAAATACTTAGGTAACTTAATTTCTACTTACAGTAAGAACTCTGCCTACGCACAATTTATTTTATAAATCACTTTTTAAATTTATCCACCTTTAACTGATATAGCCACATAAATACAATCAGTAATTATTCAGACCTTGGTTTGATACACAGATCTCCTGAACTGACATATTGCCTATGAAGTACCCAAAAAGCGTAAAACAATTAAGATTTCAATTTTGAGGAGAAAGCCTTTTTTTCCTCCCCTCTCTACATCTTTAAATTAACATTTTATTAGTTTTACTTACACATTTTGCTGATGGCTTTAAAAGATTTAATATTTCCCAATCTACAAAGTTAAGAACAGTGTTAAGTTCTATGGATATTGCAGGGACTTCGTACAACAATTTGCGATGAAGCGTCCACATGCAAGAATATATTTTGCTGTTACTTACATGATGTAAAGTACTGGCATTTACTATGGGTGACCTCAGATGAATCCATGAATTTGAACAGCACATGGATCTCTGAAGGCTTCCTTACCGCAAGGAAACACTGACACAAAGGATGGCATGCAAGAATGAAACGTCAAGGGCTGTTGCTATTTGGACAAGTTGCTCTTATAAGCAGCAAATAGCTACAAGACACTTGTGGAGTCCACTCTGAAGTCTAAATAACTGATTGAAGACTATTGAGCACTTTTAAATGGTTAACAGGGGTATCTGAACAATTGCAGGGCGGGGGGTGCCACAAAGCAAACTTGGTAAGCGCCTGGAAATCCACATGATTTCACTTGTCTTTATTTTACAAGTCGGAAGTTTTGCTGCACCTCCAAACCTGCAGAATGGCCGGTATTAGCCCTGACTGGAGATTTTTCTGCCACTGAATATGCCCTTGCTCTGGACCTTTTGACCAAAATGACTAACTCATGGTTTGTACACGTACTATTTTGGAGCCTCTAGTGTGCCTCAAACCACATTCAACACACTCTGAGTTTCAATCAATGAATTAGGCGGAATGCCAACTGTAGTTGTGACTGCTACTTCTTTAAAGTACGCACAAAATATGCACACAGCTAGTCAATGCTAAAATATGCATATATTTATTAACTCACTCTGCCTCTCCCAATCTCTGCTTTGTTCTTTAGGCTAATTACTTGGGCCTAGAGATGTTTTACTTGTAAATAACCTAGCACAGTACTGCCATAAGCTGACTGAAGTCTCTAGCTTCTACGATAAAACAACCTGATTTTCTGTCTCAATATCTTATCATCTTCCACTCTTTAAAAAAACTGCTATTCAGACACTTTTTCTAGCAAAGAGTATAAGCATCTCAAGGTGGAGACCTTCCTTATAGGTTTATTGAATTCCCTATCCACTTAAGGGTAAGCAATTAAAAAAAAGAAAATTGTGAGACGTAGTTCTTGGTATTATAGCAAACAGCTATACATGCCTGAAGAAGTTTTGCACCAGAAGTAAAGGTCCTTGAAGAGAAAGAGTAGCTTCTCATCCTAAAATGTGATGTCACACCCACGGGATTATCAGGCGAGTGGCTGCTTGCTTCTTGCTTCACAGGAAGCAAAACATTCCATTGGACATTACTGCAGTTGCCAATCAGGTTGATTTTAACTCCTCCTCCTTTTTTTTTTTTTTTCAAGAAGATGGAAGCAACATTTTGTTTTGACTTTTGTTTAAAGATAAAATGGGCTTATTTAAGTTGCTTGACTATACACTATGTTTCTCACATCTGTTTTGAATGGGGGCTATTTAAGGAGAAGGGAGATGCTCAAGTTCTACTGAATTTGCTTAAATCTGTACTAGTGAAAGTCTTAGCCCTGCATATTTACATTGCATAAACCAGTGTTTATAGTAAGTACACTAGTGAGATAATTCTGATGACATGTTTACCTGCACAGTCTCCCACCATCAGAGGAAATGTAGACACATCTGTCCGAAAGATTTGTAGAAATGGAAACAAATTCATTGATGTAACCCGCTCGACGCATTATCCGAAACGTGTTGACTAATTTCTGATGATCTCGTATGACACCAAGGATGTTACCTATTCATAACGAGAGTACATTCATAGTGAATTCTTTGCATATCCAAAACTCTACTTACAAATTCTGATCATGTCTAGCACGCATAGAATTAATTCCTACTTCTTGCAAATAATAAGAGTTGTCATAAAATTTCCCTTTTCTGGCATGAATAAGAATTGGCTCCTTTTTTCTCTCAGTAAACATAAAAAAAAAGTGTCAGATTTTCACAGGTCATCTATTTGTTTGCTTCCAAATAGCTTCAGAAACCAAATGCTGTGCTTCATCCAGCTTTCTTCAAATATGTTTCTGTTCAGGTGCCCATTCATGAATTAGTATACAAGCAAATAAGACTTCTGAAGCCTGTAATTTCAGCTGTACTGAAATGGAACCAAGTTTTCCAAGAACATACCAAGGGACTGTCCTGCTGCCTTGTTAGAAGTTTTAGAAAGACCTGGTATTTTTGATATATGTGATCACTGACAACAGCACCAGAATTCCTCCTTCAGGAACTTAGCTCAATATGCTATTGCTATCTTAGCAGGGCACTTTAGCACATACTTAAGTATTCTGATGCATGATGAACAAACGAGAGTAAAATTCATTTTTAAAGAGTCACTGACCAAAGTCATCTTAATATATAAAATAAAAATAAGTATGGTGTAATTTTAAACAAAACTTTAAAGGAGGAGGCACAGCATGATAGTTTAGGGAGTTCATAAGACAATACAAGGTCTTTATAGCTTAAGGGATTTGTACTCAACAGATTCTTCTGCCCTCTTATGTCACAATTTTAAATCAGAATCAAGTCAGCCATTCACAAATCTGGATTTTTTTTTTATGGATTAAATCCACAAACTAGTAGACTGAAGAGTAGATGGTTCTGCCTCACTTACTACTACATCATGTACATTTGGGAACATAACTATGTGAATGAAGAGTCCAGTATTTCTGCTCTGCATTCCCCTTTGGACCATAAAAAAAGAAAGAGTGCATGTGGTTTCACTGAACCTTATCTTTAACATACTGCTACAGAAAAGCAGAGCAAAGGAATGCAGGTTGGTCAAGTGTTGCTTTTATGTTACTGAGAGAAGGGAGGATTGAAGAACAACTGCTGTTTAATTCAAAGGTAAATGGAGAACTATTCATGGTGACAGACATTAAATACTGTTCCCTGGAAGTGGATGCTGTTGACAAAAAGCTATTTTTAAATCACAGTTGTATTTTGTAAAATGTCCGTATTTTGAAATCTGATATCAAGGTACCTGCTGAGTTAGAAATGCTAAAGATCAGTTGTAAAAGGAAAATAACCGTGCAGATGCAAAGCACATATGCCAAATCATGTCTTTAGCAAAGCAAAAAGGCCTGTTTTCCAAGGTCTGATTTTTTCTAATCATTCACAAAACAATTTGCCCTTTAAAAGGTAGTTTTAAAAAACAATAGCATTGCTAAACTTTGCAAACAATTGCTGTTTCCTTTCTGTTTTTAAAGGCACTTGCATGAATATATATAATACATAAAGATCACAGTAAAATGAAATACTTTCTGTGAATGAGGCTCTGACTTTGTAAATCTAAGTTATTATAAATTTAGCAGCGTTATTCTCTTTTAAAAGTACTTAATGAATGGCACCTCGTTTGGTGAATGTCTGAAAAAACAAACAAATCTGTAAGAAAATGTACATGTTTTTGTGCCTATTCATGCAAGTGTGCTTAAAAAAAGTACTGAAATTTGAAAAAGTTTCCATTTCCCAGCTACACACATCTGTAGTCAGAGTTCTGAGGACACAACTTCAGACAACTAAGTGCCATCATCTGGCCTGTCTACTCTGCCTAACCCTATAAAAATATTTACTGATTACATTATCCGCACGTGGAAAACAGCATCTGCAGTTGACTGTGCTCCAAAAATTGTCGGAGGGTTTCTGAAGCCTCTCTCTCCATCAGCAACAAATCAGTCAGACTGCTGAAAAGTTACATACCATTAAGGAAAACAAGGAACACATTTGGATAAGAAAGTTCTTCACCACAGAGCAAGTTGACATCTTCAACTCCAAGATTACTGGCTAATTTAATAATTGGGCCATCTTCCATATCCGTAGTAATGTGAGTCATGAGGGCAAGATTTTTAACCAAACCACAAGCCTAAAATAAAAAAAATACATCTTTTATCCATTTTATTCCAAAATATTAATACTCTCTCTACATTTCTCTTCCAAAACTGTACTTATGAACAACAACAAAAAATCAACATATAAAGTGAATGAAATTAAACAAATCAACTACACTGAAAATTAAGAAGGAAGAAAGGAAGAATTTTCAATATCACACTGAAATGAAATCTTTTAGCATTTACAAACTAATAAAAAATATAGGCAATAGAGTTGCAGTTCTTAAGTTATCTGACCATGTATAACCTGTATTTCTCTCTTCAAAGCAACAGCTACTAAAAAGCATAATGGAAATACAAAATTAGTCTATTTATCAATTTGCCAGATATCCTGTGTGCTCTAACACAAACTTTAGCATTTTAAAATAAAAAATATTCAAGTATCTTACACAGTGCAATTTTATTAGCTCATATTGATCACATATTGATGCCAGAAATTCAGAGTTTCCTCAGTACTTTCTAGTCAGGAAAAAAAGAAAAAAGGAAAATCAGAAAAACTAAGACTGTCAGCGTCAATTGTTTGGTTGAAACAGCTGGATGATGTCTTTAAAGTAAAACATATAAAGGTGTTTTTCTTCCTCAATCTAAAGGCTAAAGCTGTTTCTGTATTGTAATATATGTTTCTAGAAAAATCATAGGTTGACACTGCCATTTCAAAACAGAACATTTATTACAGAACAAAGGGATAAGAGTTTAGGACTCCTCTCTTTCTGCCCTGATAAAAAGAAAGCAAGTAGCTCTGCTGCAAAAACGGGAGGCCTCATGTCAGTCTCATATACCCAAATGATTTATGAACAGCTTCCAGCCAGTCCACTCCAGTGGGAGAAAAAAGGCAATCTAGTACGGAGGACCAGGATGTAAATAGATGGGATGTGAGAAGACACAAAAGTTGTGTTATCAGGCTGAGGACAATTTATCTCTCCAGAAATCTCCTCATTAGGATTATTCCTCTTGAGGAAGGCTCACTTGCTTCAAAATAAACGGTATCTCCATTCCTCAGGACAAGAAATACTGGAAGCAAAACAGAAGTTCCTCACCTCTCCTTCAGGCGTGTCAGATGGGCAGAGCATCCCCCACTGAGATGGTTGCAGCGACCGAGGACCACTCACTTTCCTTGTCTTTTCAAACTGAGAAGAGATTCTAGTCATCATTCCCAGAGCAGATATATAAGACAAGCGGGACAATACTTGCGTCACACCTTGGCGGTCCATTTTGAATCTCTTCAGAGACCAATTTCCCTGTAGAACAAAAAGAACATTTCAAAAAAGTTATTGCAGTTTATCCCTGTCTCAACACTATGTGCCTTTTTCAGCAAATGTTGCTTGTTTATATAAAATGACTTTCTAATTACTTATCTGCATATCAACTACTAGTTAGAACACACTTGTACTAAGTATTAAAAAAAAGTTGAAACAAAAGAACTGCTCTTTCAGATGAGAGGATATTTTTGCTATTATATATTCAATGACACAAACTTTCTTCATCATCTGTGCCTCACAAGTAAATCAATACTCAAATTTAGCTAAATTCAATTATTTTCTGTTGTCCCTTTATTGATTTTTTGAAGTATTATTTTTTAAAAAAGTATTTTGAGTGAAATACATTTTTACAATAGCTCTCACGTTTTCAGTTCTGCCTTTTTCGTGATTTGTTTTCTTGGTAGAAAACACAGGCATTTATGCTGGAGAAGTCTGACATCAAAGTCGACGGCACTTTCTTGAAGCCTTTTGTTTTTAGAACCTAGATGAGAAAGACTGACTGATGTGTCTTCTCACAGAAGAAGAGTGTGTAGGGTCAGGCCTATCCAACTTCTCTGGCAGGATTACACTACCTATGAAATCCAAGATCCCTACCTATGTCAGAGGTTTCATGTTTCAGGACTGTCACAGGCAGTGTCACTTGTGGTTTTAATTAGGAGAACAGAGGAGTTCAGAGAACGTTCTAGGACACAATTATGTTTCTATGCCAAGCAGATTTAATAATCTCTTCTGTAAGATCTTGAAATTTGGTGCTACATTTTTGGACTTCATGACATCTACTCTCATCTACAGTTCCCAGCACCTGAGTCAGTGGATACAGTAAGTTTCTGTCCCAATTATTACTATTTACTCCAGCCACCATGTTACTGGTCAGCCTAAAGGCAATGACAATCTCAAAGGTAACACTTTCCCAAGGACTGCCTTCTGCTAATTCCTGCGGCCTTTTGGATAAACTCAGCTCACCAATGTTAACAAATAATTTGAAGCTCGCTTGCTGTACTATACTGAAATCCTTTTAAAAGGTGATTTGCTTGGCTGATTGATTTATACAGTAACAACTGTATAATCCCATTTTGTGATGTACAGCAAGAAACCACCACCCATCCCAATGATTTTGCTGTTTGCTTCCACTGAAGAGACTACCAAATAGTCTGCAGAACTTCTCTTTTTCCCTTGTTACTGAAAATGGGAAGACACGATGCCCAAAGGTAATTCAGTCAGAAGAAATCTGTCCACTTGTTCACTCTTCTCAGGAACAGTTTACTCACTGACCATTTAATTCTTTAAGGCCTGGGAGTTATCAAATTTAAGTGGAAGAATACAATAAATAAGTAGTTTTTCCTCCTACTGGAAATGATTGCATCTGTAGTCTAAACTAGCAGTGGTTTCTTCTTTGCTGCCCATAAGACTCTGAAATCTCAAAGACAGGAGTGAAGGGGAGGTAAAAATGCTGCCTGAAGAAATAACATGAAAAATTATTTGTGCTTTCGAAGTGAAAGACTGACTAAATCCTTCAAAAGTTGTCCAAAACACCCAAAATTGGGCCAGGGCTGTTGTGAGATCATCCGCAGTATACAACTTCCTGCTG